GAACAAAGAAAAATGTTGTAAACAATATTTTGAAATAACTGTTAAACAAAAACTATTAAGTAGTAATTGCAATATTTTTTTTCTAGATAGTTTTTCATAAACTCTCTCTGCTGCTATTAAGACTGTCAGACTTCTAGTTAAACCTCTATGTTTTACTTTAGCCAATTGAAATAATCAGGGTGTGGGCAGTCATGCATAGTGGTCAGAGCAAGAGTCAGGCCTAATGGTCAGAACCAGGGTTGACAACCCTGTATTTCAAAAATGAAATGAAGATGAAATCACAGATGAGATGGGCAGGCCATGTTACCAGGATGTCAGATGAGGGACATCAGATGGGGAGGGATAGCTCAGTGGTTTCAGTATTGGCCTGCTAAACCCAGAGTTGTGAGCTCAATCCTTGAAAGAGCCACATAGGGATCTGAGGCAAAAATCCATACTTGGTCCTGCTAGTGAAGGCAGGGGGCAAGACTTGATGACCTTTCAGGGTCACTTCCAGTTCTATGAGATAGGTATATCTCCATATATGACTACCAAAGATCTTTTATGGTGAAGGAAAGTGCTCTCAGGGAGGCCAAAAGAAACATTTCAAGGACTCCCTCAAGTTATCTTTGAGCATTTCAACATAAATCCAGAGTTTTGGGAAGATCTTGCTCATCATTGTTCTACCGGGTGAAGTCTCGTCCATACTGGAGCTACATGCTCTGAGCAGAGGAGAACTACTGAGGCAGAGCAGAAGTGCTAGTAGCGTAAATCTCGCAACAGCAGCATGTCCGCAGTTAATCAAATAACCCATAGTGGCATTTCTTGTTCAGTGTGCCAGAGACAGCTCAAAGCTCAAATTGGCCTGATCAGCTACTCATGTGTTCACAGAAACCAAACCAATCAGTGATGTCCTGGTCATTTTCGAACTCGGACGAACAACAACATTTCAAAAATAAGGGACTGTTTTCTTAGCACCCTTGCCCCACCCCTCCTCTCAATATTCTTATTCTTATTATTTATTATTAAGAAGAAGAAGCACTCACCTACATTCCCCACGGGTACTTCTTTCTGCTTTTTGCAGTACTCAGCAACTTCCGATCTTATTATACAGAGATGAAGAAATAAGGGACATCCCTTGTAATATGGGACTGTTGGCAACCCTAGTGAGAACAGACGGTCAAAACCAAAGACAGTATCAGGTGCCAGGCCAGGGGTCAGAGCCAGTATTAAGGTAAGGCAGAGGAGCAGGGTCCTGAATTAAGGGCAGGTCATCAGGAACTGGGAGTAGATGGGTTCTGCAATGGGAGGACAGGAACCGGGAGCAGGCAGGGAAGCAGGAACTGGGAGCAGTCAGGAATACAGGGCTCAGGAGTCAGATAAGCCAGTGGGATTCATATTTGCCACCAGCCAAGGATTCCTCGAGTTGCTCAGAAAACTTCTTGTTGTTACTTCCTGGTTTATATAGTACTCCCTTGACAATTGGGGCAGATGGCCCCTCTGCAAGCTGGCCTTTCCCTGGACCATTCCCTAATTACTCAGGTGAGCTGCTGGGTGTCAGTTATGGCCTGAGTAGTGCCTGTGGGCCTGGGTTTGAGGCCTGAGATCCCTCACACCCATAAATATAACAGTCCTATATCTCTGATATTCTCCAGGGGTGATTTTTCCAGTCTATTGTGTGCCTGGATTCTGAATTCTTGGTTGAGGAGAGCTGGCTATGGAACAATCTTCCAGAAGAGATCAGGTGAATCCCTTTTTGGGAAAATGCTTCAGAAAACTTCCTCTTTGGAAAAAGCCTTTCTACCATAAAAATGACATTTGCAACACTGACACCCCTCCACTTTTGAAGGATACAATCTGGTTTGCTGATATCTCATGTGAAACCAAGGGGAAATGTATCCATGCTCCTCTCAGCACTATACTGAAATGTCAAAAGATTCACCTTTCAGCATAAAGACTCAAGAGCAGAGAAGAGAAGTCATTGGCATCATCCCTTGAAATCGCACACCTAGCCAAGAAGTCAAATAAGGAAGGAGTTCTGCCGTCATACTGATTTTTAAACACTGTATTTGAGGGACCCACCTATTAAAGATTTTCTTATTCTAAACATTACATCCTAAATTTTCAAAAGTGAAGATTTATCCATGCAGCCACATGCACTAGGATTCATAAAACACATGTAGACTTAAGTTTTCAAAAGGTGCTAGTGATTTTGGCTGCCTCAGTTTTTGGCTACTCAATTTGATCCCCTCTAGAAGGGCCTCAATTTTTCAAAGTGCTGAGTATGCTCCTTCTGAAAATCCATCATCTTTAAAGTATGTCAACTTTGGCATCCAAAATCACTAGCTACTTTTGAAAACTTAGGTACCTGTGTCTTCTGAATGTCAGTTCACGTGACTGCATGGATAGATCGGTGACAGCCAAAGGAGCTGAGTAAGACTAAGTGACTGTAATGACTATTGGTGCTCAGATTATTCTGTCATTCTGGGGTCTGGTTGAACATCTTGTTGATTTATGGCTCTGGGGATCCCACACTTCTGCATTGATGCAGCAATACTGAATGTACAGTCTGCAGAATTCTCATGTATATTTTCTTAATATCAGCATGATGCACCTTAAGCATGGTTAGCAGATTTTATTTGTGGCCCAGATAGCGCTTGAGATGAGCCATTCATACAGCCCTTTGGCCAATATCTTTGTGATCTTTTGAAGATGTTGGGAATAATTATTTTGTATCTTGTTGGACATTTATATTTCATATTATTACATAACTGAGATCCTTGGCTGCTGGTGAAATACTAGAGAAACTGCTGGAAGATGCAGATGTGAGGATATAGGACACTAGGCCATAGGTGGCACGTGAGTCTTTTGTTTGGGGATGCTACTCCATAGTTTTGCCTTGTATTTACTAAACCAAATGATGTACAGGAAAACTCACGTGCAAAGGTGGTGGGCTTCCTGCTTTCCAAAGCTCATTTGAAATCTCTAGTAAATCAGTACCGCTGACAGATTTCGAATGCAGGGGCGGTGGCCAACTGCATAGGCAGCACCAAAGCCTCCCTCTGGAGCAGGAAGGCAGCCTGAACCCATGAGCAGGTGGATGGCAAGGCCGAGGGCAGACAGCAGGACAGGGGGGAGCCAGGCCACCCACCCGGCAAAGGCAGGAAAAGGAAGAGGGGCATCCCCCCGCCATAGCATGGAGGGTTGCTGAAAAGTGAAAAACAATGCAAATGATAAGCCTCCAAAGGGAGGTGACACGCATCCCCCCCTTCATGGCCAGCCTCTTTTTCCTGATTATTTGGGCAAATTATTTTGGGGAGGCTTAGCCTCCCCAAGCCTCTTATATGCGCTGCCCATAACTAGGGCATTTGGAAACGTGGTGAATTGAATGTTTTCTGAGCTATGCCACAGTGGAGCAGTATACAAACAAGCTACTTGTTTGCTGTTATTGGGAAGTGGAGGATATTTCCCCCTATGCACCACAAAATTTGTTTGGCAACTTCTGGCACGCACACTCCTGCTTCCATATGTCTCATCCAAAAGCACGGAGAAATGTATCCACCATTCTCACATCATTACACTGAAATGTCAAGAGTCACCTGTATAAACAGGAAAGTACTTGGCATCATCCCTCAAAAATACACACCTAGCTGAGGAGCCAAATGGGGCCAGCCGTCAGAAGGAAATTATAAATCTTTGTCAATGAGGCGACAGTGGTGTTCAGAGTACTGTGATATTTTCCATTTCCATTTATTATGCTTTATGGGTGTTATGAAGGTGATGGGGTTCCCCCCCCCCCAAGCTATTTGGGGCTCATCAGATGCCTAGCCCTTTAACATAGTTTAAGCATTTTGGAGATGTCAGGAGGAATTTTCTGTCTGACCTATACCTTATGTGATTGATTGTTCAGCTGTTGCTGAATCAGAACAGAAAGTGTTCAAGGTACTGTGATGTTTTTTGCACTGCACCAGCAGAATGCCCCATCATTCCTGCTTGGTTGCTCCAGTCGCTCAATCTTCTCTTTACATGGCTAATGTGTTAAAAGCACAATTTATCCTTTTATTTGTAAAGACTTTAAAGTCACTTGATTTGGGAGCTTATATCTTCCATTACCACACACCCCAGGTATGAAAATGTATTAGTTCACAGGGGCAAGAGCAGCTGACGGCACCAGAGGGTTGTCATGAGGTATCAGAGGCAGACTCTGATGCTTAGGGGAGCAGCCGAAGTGTTTGCAATAAAACAGAACATTGATAATGTTTCTCTTGAAAATCCTGGCATCTTGGGGGCACAGAGCAGAAAGAGCCATATCTCAACTACTCCAACATATGTGTACGTTACTCCATTGTGGTTAAGCTGATGATTAAACAGAACTGAGTAACCATTGTCAACAAATATGAATGGGATTTTTACTTGGGAATATAGTTCAAGAGTTAAGAAACCCTAGTATATTTAAACCACTGGGAAGTTATTTGTCCTATGAGAATTTACATGGATATTTATTAATAAAATAATTGTTTTGCTTTTAATTGGCAAGTGACTGTGTAAGTAATCTTTAAAAAAAAATTTGTTTTGAGTTAATTCCAGAAGGGGTTCAGGCCATCTTTGGGATATAGTCCATCTCTGCCCAATACAGACTTCACTCTTTTTAAATCAAAAGTGCCTTCAAATTTTGACTTTAGGGTTTAAAGATTACAATCCTGTTTCAGTAATCCATGAGATTCAATATTTAGAGCCATATTCTGCCCTTGACTCATGCACAGAATTCCCATTGATTTTTTTTATTTGTATTAGCTTTGATCCCAGAGTATGTGCCTGACTGAAAATGACCAAGGTCAGAAGAACTTTAGTGAAAGCTGCTCACAGTATGTGACATTTGAGCAATGTGAGCATTGCAACTCTTCTTGTTTTGGGTGACTCAACTAACTAAACAGCCAATAAAACAAATACTTACTGAGGTTTGTGTCCGAGTACCTTCTGTAATAATTACTGAATGACAGGGTTGGGCAGATGGAGTAGTAGGGGATTGGCCTGTACACTAAGATCAGGTTACATAAAAGGCAGCTGCAGCAGGTTTGGGAATGTTAGTAGAATATATCCCTGGGGAACATTGCTCAGTGAGTTATTGGATTCTGGAGCCATGAGTGGGTGCCCATTTTGGGGGAACAAATATCAGTGAGTATATTTCTCTATTTACTGCATAATGTCAGTTAACAGGATAGATACAATGTGAACGTTAAGTTTAAAATTCAAAAGGAGGATATTAACTACCAAGATTTAAATAACTATATAGACAACACTGAATGAAGGAAGCTGGACTAAGAATTCTTTTGAGCATTGGCTATTGGGATATAGTAGATATGAAAGTACTTAGATACTATAGTGATGTGTATGCTATAAAGGTTGAAGATAGATACATGCTGTTTATTTTGCTTATCATATATGTTTGCGAAACTGAGCCACCGAAGCAGATCAGTGCTTAAATTTTAGGCACAATTACTGCTCTGACATTTTTAGCTCTGTTATTTTATTTAGTAATTTTCTTTTATTCCTAGATTTAATTTTAATAAACTGTCTTTGGAGGATGAGGAAGGAGAAGACAAGTCACAAGAAGGGCTGAATAAAGCCAGCAAAGGTGGACTTATCTATTGCGACTATCTACATGTAAGTGTGAAGATTGGATTATGTTACTGCCCTGATGCCTGTTACAATTTGAGATGTTGACATATGGCACTTTCTTTTCCCTCCTTCTGCCAGCGAAGGCCAACAATCAAGGCAAGTCCTTCTGATCCCTGTTCCACTCCCAGCACTCAGGATGTATCCACAGGCATCTATATCTCTTGTCCTTTGAGTTAAACTCCCACCCCAGATTCCATGACAGCTCACATACCCGTTAATATTAATGGGATGCTTGATTATTTTTTAACTTGTTGAGAAAACAAATTGTTGTTTAGTCAGGAATTATTTTAGCCCTGCAGCTAAATTGTGAATGGAGAAGGGTTCAAGTAGAGAGTTACACTGAGATGCATATAACACATCACCTTGATAAATCACAGCAAAGCAGAAGATTCATTGTTTTGGCAGATGGTTACCCAGGGCAAACTTTCAGTATGCTCAGCAGGGGCTCTGCAGTTCTCATTAGCCATTGTGATTAAATCCCTGAGCAGTAATCTGAAAAAAAAAAAAACATCTAAGTGTCTGTAAAATGTTGTAAATTTAGCTCATGGACCCAGTTCTTTCATCAGTTGCACTGATGTAAACTGAAATAAGTTAAGTTACTCTAGACTTATACAGAATTTGTCCTAAAATTTATATAATTACATTTAAAAAAACAACCTTCATTAAAAGAACAATGTCAAGCACTCAGAATTTAGGAAATGCCAGTAATATGATTCCCGGGCAACTTTGATTCAGCACGTTTGTGTGTCTGCATACAATACGGTCTTTAATAAGATGATCACCAGAGCATTTTTTTCTACAGGACTTCTGCCTCACTGAAAATGAATTTCATTCACATATGATTTATAGACTACATTAGCTATTTTCCTTTCCCATCCCTTCCTTATCTTCTTTAATAAAAAGCAAATGAAAAAGCTGTTCAAATGGCTTTCTGAACTATACTGCCTGAAAGAACGCATGAGTATCTAAAAGTCAATAGATGGCTAGATTTTGCCATTTTTCTTCATGTTAAAGATTAATAGATTTTAAGACCACAAGTACTCATTGTGATCATCCAATCTGGCCTCCTGCATAATACAGGCAATTTGCCTGAATTAATTCCTGCTTCAAGTTCAATAGTAGTTGTTGAACTAGAGCATATCTTTTAGAAAAACAGCCTATCTTGATTTAAAAACTTCCAGTGATGAAGAATCCATCACAACCCTTGGTAATTTGTTCCAATGATTAATTGTCCTCTCTGTTGAAAAATTGCGCCTTATTTCTCATCTGAATTTGTTGAACTTTAACTTCCAACCATTAGATCTCATTATAGTTTTGTCTGCAGGACTGAAGAGCCCTCTATCAAATTTCTCTTCTCTATGTAGGTATTTAGAGTGTGATCAAATCACCCCTTAACATTCTCTTTGATAAACTAAATAGACTGAGCGTCTAGACTTCCAGTATCTCTCATAATTAGGGCCCTACCAAATTCATGGTCCATTTTGGTCAATTTCACAAGCATAGGATTTTAAAAATCATACATTTCATGATTTTAGCTATTTAAATCTTAAATTTCATGGATTTGTAATTAAATATATGGAGATATACCTATCTCATAGAACTGGAAGGGGCCCTGAAAGGTCATCGAGTCCAGCCCCCTGCCTTCACTAGCAGGACCAAGTACTGATTTTGCCCCAGATCCCTAAGTGGCCCCCTCAAGGATTGAACTTACAACACTGGGTTTAACAGGCCAATGCTCAAACCACTGATCTATCCCTCCCCCCTTAAGGCTTGACCCAAAAAGGAGTTGGGAGGGTCACAAGGTTATTGTACAGTGGGTTGCAATACTGGTACCCTTACTTCTGTGCTGTTTCTGGCAGCGACACTCTGCCTTCAGAGCTGGGCAGCTGGAGAGTGGCAGCTGCTGGCCAGGAACCCAGTTCTGAAGGCAGAGCCACCACCAGTAGCAGCACAGAAGTAAGGGTGGCATGATACGGTATTGCCAGCCTTGCTTCTGCGCTGCTGCTGGCAGAATGCTGTCTTAAGAGCTGGGTGCCTGGCTAATGGGCACTGCTCTCTGGCCACCCAGCTCTCAGATAGTGCAGAAATAAGGGTGGCAATACTGTGACCCTCCCAAAATAACCTTGTGACCCCCCCCTTCAGCTGCCTTTTGGGTTAGGACCCCCAATTTGAGAAACGCTGGTCTCCCCCATGAAATCTGTATAGTATAGGATAAAGGCACATAAAAGACCAGATTTCATGGGAGGAGACCAGATTTTATGGTCCGTGACACGTTTTTCATGGCCATGAATTTGGGAAGGCCCTTCTCATAAGGTATGTTTTCCAAATAGTACTTTACTCTGCCAATAGCTCCACTGAGGGTGGGAGAATCATATTTCTTTCATCTACTCCCAGATATAAACAACAGAAAAAATCAATGGATTGGCTCACTATTAAAGTGCAGAATAAATAAAATGCAACTAAAAACCTGTGGGTTTTTTTTGTTTTTGTTTGTTTTTCGTAATATTCACGTAAGTTCCCATCAGGAACATTTTGTTGAAAACCAACAGTGGAGTTTGAGATTATTACAAAAATTCTTTCTTTTAAAGCTGGACAAAATATTGAATGCTCAAGAGCTGCAGAGTGAAAAAAAAGGAAACAAGATCCATGATGAGCATCTTTTCATTGTGACCCATCAAGGTAAGCTACAGGACAGAAAAAGGTTGTTGTCTGGTGCAATCACACCATTTGTCTGTTTGGTGCTAAAACATACACAGAAATTGTTTTGATTTTGGATACAGTTATAAATTCCTACACGAATACCAGCTTTCTCTTCCATTTCCATGCCAATACAGTATTTGTGTGTGTGTGTGTGAGAGTCCATAATCCATACTTGAAGAGTTTTAGTAGAGAATGAGAATACCCCTCAACATAATTAATTATATACATAAGAATGGAGATGGCTTAGTGACCTAAATCTCAGGTTTAGAACACCTAGACTCCTCAGAACTGTAGCTTCAATTGTGGTGGAGCAGATTCAGCCATCTAAAATAGTAAAATGAGTACTACGCTGTTTACTGTATTTGGGTCTTTTTTAGAAGACTTCCTAAAACTGAGGTTCTGTCTTAGCTGTTTGGACATTACACATCTTATGGTGCTTTGTGTAAGAGGACTGGTTTGTTTTGGTAGCCTGGCCAGGTTTTCCCCTCTGCCCAACTGTTGTTAATATGCTATATGCCACCCTAGAGTTCTAAAAGTGAATATACTGTAATTAGTTCTGTTAACAGTCTCAGGTGGTAAATTAGTCCATGCAACAATGGTCTGAAGAAGGGAGAGATTCTTTAAACAGCAGGTACATTTGTAAATCAGTATTTCTTACACCCCAATCACATGGAAATAGAACATTAATTTTAAATTAAGGTTTAACAATAAATTTGAAAATTAACCTCCTAATCTACTTGCCTAACTTCTTTCTACATACCAGCAATGGCAATGAAATTAACACTAACAATGCCTTTCTTATTGTAGCTTATGAACTTTGGTTTAAGCAGATTCTGTGGGAACTGGACTCAGTTCGGGTGATCTTTCAGAATGGCCGTGTAAGTTATATACAAATATTTATTGTATGAAAACCCAAGCCTCTTTCTGAAAGCTTGATTTTTACCAAATCAACACATACCCCCAAAATGAGATTTAAGGCTGAAATTCAGCTCTTTAGTGATACCACTTTGCCATTATGATAGTCCACATATTTTGATCTGTAAAATCATGCACTGTTCTGAGGACTGTATCCTCTAAAGTAACTGACCCACACAGATCACTCTTCAGGAGCAATCACTTTGGACAAACTACTCAAGAGCTCTGATGATGGTTATCTGTGTGGGTTGCAAATACTAACCTAGAATTATTTTACTGCCAAAAAAGCATGGCTAAGAGAAAAATTATAAATAATATACTAGAGGACTTTTTCCTGTTTTATATACCAGCAATTTTATACAATTCAATGTCCCATAGGCCATCTATCTGCCTATATTTTTTTACAATAGCAAAATTATTTAAAATTATTATTTGTATGTTGAAAGTGTCCCTTACCTCTGAAATTTCTGATCCAGAAAATATTATGCAAAATATTTAATGTTTTTTTTATCCATCAGTATATAAATTGCTGGTAAATAAAATAGGAAAAAAATCTCTAGTATTTGGATGTGATTTGATGAAACTGGTGAGGGGAATTATCAAATCAACAGCAGATGCTTATATGATGAAACTTGAAAAAAAAAGTGAATATTTTGAGCATTTATTAACACTGCCCCAAAGTGAAATTCTTTATACACTTATGAATTGTAATGACAAACTCTTGAGTTTCCTCTGATGTGTTGTCAATCAGAGATGGCTGCTGTATGGGATTTTAATAATAAACTGATAGTTGTAAATGAAAATCCAGCACTTGTGGATATTATAAAGACACGTAGCATTGTTTGGAAGTAGACCTTGTAGTAAAATGTGGGGGAAAAGATGCAAAAAGTTTCATGAAAAATTAGCCCCCCCCTTTTTTTTTGCTGAAATTTAGAATGTTGATTATTTTTTTGTTGAAATCTGAAATTCAGAAAATTTTAACCATCTCTAAAATGGGATAAGTTTCTCCATGAAAGTAATATTTTGTTGAAATGTAATTTAAAATGTTGTTGAAAAATTGAAATTCAGAAACCAGTGGGAGGATTATGAAAAAGATTAAAATGTAGCATTTTCATCCCTCCTTTGGTATTTCTTGGTTATACTCATTGACTGCCTTAGCAATCTCAAGTGGAATCCTGACCCCATTGAAGGCAATGGCCGTGTTGACACAAAGTTGACTTGGGAACTGCTCTGCAGTTCCTTCCCCACTCACTTCTCCTATTTCTTCCTTTATCCCCCCTTCTGTTTGCTAGCAAGCATCTTCTCAGCTGTGCCACACCACTTTCTTAGCCACGTTACCGCTCCTGTTTCTTCTGGCCTGCTTCTCCATTGACTCTAATTGAATTACACTGTGAATGACTTTGGCCTAGACTTTCAACTCTTTCAGAGTGGTAGCCGTGTTAGTCTGTATCAGCAAAAACAATGAGGAGTCATTGTGGCACCTTATAGATTAACAAATTTATTTGGGCATAAGCTTTTGTGGGCTAAAATCCACTTTATCAGATGCATGGAGTGGAAAATACAGTAGGAAGATTTATATAGCAGTACATGAAAAGATGGGGATTGTCTTACGCAGTGGGGGGTTGAGACAAATCAATTAAAGTGGGCTAGTATCAACAGGATGAAAAATCACTTTTGTAGTGGTAATCAGGGTGGCTCATTTCAAACAGTTAATAAGAAGGTGTGAGTAACAGTAGGGGCAAATTAGCATGGGGAAATTAGTTGTTTTTTTAGTTCTTGTAGTGACTCATTCATTCCCAGTCTTTATTCGGGCCTAATTTGATGGTGTCCAGTTTGCAAATTAATTCCAATTCTGCCATTTCTCATTGGAGTCTGTTTTTGAAGGGTATTTTTTTTAAAATTGCCATTTTTAAGTCTGTTATTGAGAGTCCACGGAGGTTGAAGCGTTCTCCTACTGTTTCTTGAATGTATAATTCTTGACATCTGATTTGTTTACTGCTATATATATCTTCCTACTGTATTTTCCACTCCATGCATCTGATGAAGTGGGTTTTAGCCCATGAAAGCTTATCCCCAAGTAAAATTGTTAGTCTATAAGGTGTTACAACTCTTTCAGTAACTTTTTGAGTTAAAAACATGGGAAAAATAACTCCTTTATAACTGACCCAATTAGAATGAGTAAGCAGCCAGAGCAAAAAGCCCTCACAGTTGATCTTTTGTGTATATATAAAGCCTAAAAAGTATGATTTTAGTTATATGCATGAGTCTACATTAAATACAAACTTTGCTATTGATTTTTACACGGAATACACTGAGATACTGCAGTGATGGGTGAATAACATCCTAAAAGAGATTGATGGGTAGAACACACAGGTATAAATGGCTTATCAGCTCAACATTCTCAATCTGGTCATAAATATTTCTTTTCTAATAAGGTGAGAGATGAGAGAAACATGCTCAAGGTTGTTGCTCGAATGCACAGAATTTCAATGATCCTTAAATTACTTGTGGAGCAATTTTCAGTTCTAGAAACTATGACTGCATTGGACTTCTTTGATTTCAGGTAAATATTATTTATTATTTATTGATTAGCATCAATGCTTATGTAACTGTCCTCACTAGAGCTAACAGTGCGGTTTGAATCCAGGGCTTTCAGAACTGAAAGCCTGAGCCTCTACCACTCAGCTGAAGAACTAAATCAATTAGGTCAGCACCAGGGCCGGGTCCAGCGTTTTTGCCGCCCCAAACAGCGAAAAAAAAAAAAGCAAAAAAAAAAAGGCTGCGATCAGCGGCACTTCGGCGGCAGCTCTACCACCGCCGCTTTATTCTTCTTCGGTGGCAATTTGTCAGCAGGTCCTTCCCTCTGAGAGGGACTGAGGGACCTGCGGCCGAATTCCTGCCGAAGAGCCGGACGTGCCGCCCCTCTCCGTTGGCCACCCTAAGCACCTGCTTGCTGCGCTGGTGCCTGGAGCCGGCCCTGGTCAGCACAATGAGTGTGTATTTGGAAGAGAAGCAGCTGTATTAATAAAAGATAAAGATCAATAATGGTCTCTAAATTGATTGCAAGTCCAATGTATTCTGAGGTTTTTAAACAGATGTTTGTCTTAATTATTTGTATCTGACTTTGCTAGCTGAGATCACCATTACAAAACTAAACTAACAGTATGTAAATAATCAAAATGTCCTGTCATTTGGTAATGCCAAGTTAAAACTTAGCAATTTCCTTACACTATTCACAGCCACATGTTCTCTGCAACATTTTATGTCAATTCATAAACTTGTGTGGGTGAGAGAAACCCATGCTCCACATCTAGAGCATGAGCTAGATGTTTTAACCCACTGGTTCTGGGGCTTCACACATCTAAACTTAAAAAGGTTTGCAGTGGTCCTGGATCACTGAAATATAATGTTTCCAGAGCCTGTGGAAAGCAGCATGTTGCTGCCAGCTTTTTGCCACTGACCCTCCATCTCTCTTCACTTCCCCATTTCCCTACCAGGAATTTCTCCTCTCCATCTACCGATAGAAGCAGACAGTATTACCTGGAAGCTTGTATAGCTCTTTCTGGCTGCTGGCCTGGCTTCTGGGATCCATCTGCCTGTCTCGCTTCCAGGAAAGAACTCCTAATTTCACACCCAGGCTCCACTAAGGCTCCATGCACCCCCATTTCTAACTTTCCTGTGGTTTCCACTTGGGTCACATGTGGTCATGTCATCCAGCTCCCATCCCTTCATGGATCCTTTTGGCAACTTATATATTTGCCTTCTAATTCTCCACTTTTTATTACCACTTCATAATACCCCAGAAAACATCACTCATGGTCCTTAAAAGTTGCCATAATCCTTTTCTCCCATTTTTAAATTAAAAAAAAAAAAAGACAGGGAGAGAGAGAGAAAATAAGTGGATTAACCTTCTATTTTGAGAGATCCTCAAATGCAATTTTCAGAAATGTATTATTGTATAATAGGCAATTATACAACCAAGTCAACAACTTTCAATTCCATTATTATAACCACGGTATCCCTTATTTTTGAACCACTAAATTTGCCAGGAAATGGGAATCCTGGCTATCCTTATTAATTAATTCTTCCAACTTGCCAACATGGTTTAATTTTACATCAATCCCACATAATAAAAAACTAGCCATGGTGACACCGACACCTTATCCTTTTGTCCAGAAAAAAACCCAGACAAAACATTGTTCTGATCTATGGAATAATTTAAACACCAATGAACATATTATAGTTTATTTTAATTTTAATGACTCAAGACACCTTTCTTAATACCTGTTTGGCTATGTATGTTTAGAAATAAATTAATATTCATATTACATTTCCTTCTGAACATGTTTTTTAAAAAAATATTGATTTCAATATATAATTTGTTGTTATTTACTTAAAAATAAAGAAATCAGATTTTCATTGTGATATCTGGGTTGCAACAAAGGAAAAGTCAATGTTGCGGTATATCAGAGCGTCTATTTGATATGCTTTTAATGTTAGAAATGTCTATATAGTTTTTTTAGTTATTGATAGGAAAACCACAAAATACCCTTATTTTTGAAATAATATGTCATTACTCTATCTTTTTCCATACCCAAAGAGATTACTTAAGCCCAGCATCAGGTTTTCAGAGCCTGCAGTTTCGCCTGTTAGAGAATAAGATTGGTGTCCCACAGAGCCTGAGAGTCCCTTATAACAGAAGGCATTACCGTGATAACTTCAAGGGACATGAGAATGAACTGCTGCTTAAATCAGAGCAGGAGCCAACACTTCTGCAATTAGTGGAGGTAAGTGTTTAAGTGTAGACCTGCCCTATTTTAAAGTAGTATTCTTACCCTATTTTTGGAAGGAGAAATTGATTTGAGCGAGAAATTCCCAGTTTCTCAAAGGTATTTAGGCATTTTATTGAAATCAATGGGAGTGAGATGCCTAAACACTTTTTTGGGCTGAAGTGACTTGTCCAGGTCTACAGAGGGAGTCAATGTTAGATGGGATCAGAAGTGCGGAGTTTGTCTTCCAACTCTGGGATAATTTAAGAGTAACTCATGATCTGTATCACCTATTTGCTTTATGTTATTTTATTTTTAAGGCATGGCTGGAAAGAACACCAGGACTAGAACCAGAAGGATTTAATTTCTGGGGAAAATTTGAAGTGAATGTGTTAAAAAGTCTACAAGAGGAACTGGCAATGGTTCAGGTAAATTATGTATCCTTAGTCTATCAATAAGCATAAGATATGTGATAAAAGAAGATCCTGCCATTTTAGTTAACGTTTTAACCCAATCACTGTTCCTTTCCCTTGGTTCATTCAGTCTTAAACAAACTTTGTTTTTAAGGAGCAATGGAACTATGCACTTGTTTCAGGCATATATGGGCCAGTTTATAATTTGACTTCTAAAACGTGTGCTATTTGAGTGATTTTTTGATTGCAAAAAACAGGGTTGAAATCCTGACTCCAGTGAAATCAATAAGAGTTGTGCCATTGACCTCACTGGGGCCAGAATTTCACCCCAGGCACTTGAGTCTGAAGATCAAAGTGCAACTCTTCTAAGAACAAGCCCATGGGAATCCGTATGGAAGGAAATGTTTGCATACACTATTGTGAGGTGGAACTGTGCTGTTTCACATAGCTTTACTAAATGGTACATATGGGTTTGACAAGAAGGGATTTCCACATACTGATATTGAACTTACTGAACTATATATGAATATTAGCATGAGAAGAATGTTTTGCTTTTAAAAACAAATCATTTAGTTGCTCAAGAGGACAAAAAATATCTAGATGTGAATGATTATGTATCTAACAAAATGCTCTCGTGAATTTTGAGAATTAATTTCTGGAAATGAATTTCTTTAGGTCAAATCACATTTTTAATGAAAAAAATAATTCTGTATTCAAAATCCAGGAAATTTTGACCAGCTCTAAGATTGTCTTTCCAAATGCTGGGTTTCGTTTTCTTTCTTCATTCAAATGAAGAAACTATAAAATCAGACTTCTAAGAACTTAAGGACAGATTTAAAAAAAAAAGAATTAATTATGTAATTGTGTTCCCATCTTGTGCATGTATTGATCTCAACTAGGTATGAAAACTGGCTAACTGGTGTGGTGATTTAAGTACATTTGTGCATGCACTGGTTGTAATAATTGTGTTTTGCATAGGCAGTGGTATATCTAACTTGTTTGAAAACATGGTCCTTACCCCAAATGTGTAAATTCATAGAGGTATGATGCTGAAAATTGCAACTGTATAATAAATAATTCAAAAACTGTAGGCCTCTTCTAAAAACAATTATTTTGTTTTATATTTTAAAGGCCAAACAAGAATCAGAGGAAAAAGAGGACCTACTGGCTGAACTTCAAAAACAAAAAGAGATTCTTATTTCATTATTTGATGAAAAACGCCATGAACATCTTCTTAGTAAAGGTAGGTTATGTTCACATCTGGAAAAAGATAATTTGATAACAGTAACTGGACCCCTTGTGAAAAGAAGTTTAAAAATACAAGGAAGAAAGTTATCTTAGAAAGTTACTTGTGATTTGCTTTTTTTAAATCTTGAGTGTTATGATGATTTGGCAATTTTCCAAGTAATGGTGGAATTCTGTATACAGCTACTTTTGAAGCAACTCTGATAGCTAAACACTATAATGTATAGTTTTTTCCTACCATATATTTTTGTATACTATAGTGGACTCTGGACATTTGCAGGAAAATTAATGCAAAAACTAATAACATCTGTAATTTTGCAGGAGAAAGAAGACTCTCTTATAAAGCATTGAAAGGAGCTTTAATGATTTACTTCTACAGGTACAGTAAGGTGATATTTCTGCAAGATTTAGTGGGAATGGTGACAAAAGGAAGAAGTCAAGGGTAGCTGATGTATTATACGATTTGTTGAAAAGCTATTCTAAATCATATACTGTACTTTAGCAAGGTCCTTAAATTCTCCTAAGGCCAAATTGCTATAAACATGGAACACAATGCAACTCACATTTTAGAGGGTGAAAGCACCTATTAAAATACTGATTTTTCTATTGGTAGAAGAAATTTAGGGGGGGGGGGAATTACCAAAGTCAGTGCTATGCACACTTGAAGTGGTACTTTGACAAACATGGCATAATAAGAAAATATCAGTACGGTAATAAGAACTTTCTTTGTGTCTTGTATTTCATTTTTCAAGAGAGGAGCCTCGCTTTCAGGTTCCCTTTCAGCTTCTTTCTTCTCTCATGGATATTGATATACTCATGACCAAATGGAGATGTAAGTTTCCCCTTCTTTATCGTGGTAGTATCTCTTTTAGGTACAAGATTGTTTTTCCCTTTATTACTATAGTTGTAACCAAGGTGTGTTCAATTAGAATTCAGAAGACCTCCTCCCCTTCTTATTCTAAGGACAACTGCTTTTGCTTTGATCTGGAGGGCAGGTGTGACACTTCCTTAGCTGTTGATGCATGTACATGGAACAGCCATTGCCTTCCTTTTGAAGCTAAACCTATCACCTCCATGATGTGCCTAAAATTGGGGCAACATCTTTTTTTCTAAGAGAATTACTGTATATTTCCCAGTTTCTCCCCTCACCTCATGACTCTTCTCTACCCAAACATTCTTTGCACTCTCATACCCCCTGTCTACATTACAGGGTGAAACATGTTGCAATCTATAGGATGACAGTTAACAGTACTCCTTACTCAATATGCAACATGCTGAAGAGTGATAAAGTCTCCCTGATGACCTAGTAGGTCACCCTCTCTATGACCTTTATCTCTGATGTCCCAGGAAAATGGTCATAAGCATTCCCCTGAACCTCACATGAAACTGTGATACAATACAACTTGCTATCTGGCCAGCTTTAATTGGAATTTCAGTGGTCAACACCATTATAACCAAACCCTTGTTTGTATCCTAAAGCAGCAACTTAATATAAAAAGTAAGTTATAAATGCCAAATTCTATTGATTTCTGTTGCTTAGACAACCATGTCTGCCTGGTGCACAGAATGATTGGCAGCAAGGCTGGCACTGGAGGATCATCAGGCTATCAGTATTTGCGCTCAACAGTGAGGTAAGCATGAAGAAAAAATATTTAAACTTCACAATATTATTCTTTACCACTCCTTAATCTGCATACAGTACATTAAATTAATATGAATAATACTTTTCATTTCATCATATCCATGTAAAAAGTATTTTAGTATTAGTGAAAGAGTCCAGAAAAAAAGAGCATAGGCCCAAACATATTGAAAATAAGCAATTAGTATTACATAACCAGTGTCTACTGACACTTTGAACATTGGCGTCTTTCTATAAATAGCTGTGTATAAATAGCAGGAAAATGGTGACCTTTTATCTTAAAAGCTAAACTATTCTTTGAATTTAGGGACCGGGAACACTTGAACATATGCTGGTAAAAGATATTAGCTTTACTGTTTATGGCTTTTCAGTTCCTTTTTGTGTTTTGTCAGTCAGCTTGTGAGAAAGAAGAGGTTTTTTTTTTTTTTCCAAGTGACAGGAGGGGATAGTCCATAGAAGTCAATGCAGATATGAAGATTGATTTATTACTGAAAATGCACAGTTTCAGTCATTTAATATTTTCTCATATCCAGTCAGTCGGTCAACGCTAAAGCTTATATCTGTACCTACACCTTGACAGTTGAGTTTTGTGCCTGGAGAGCAAAATGCAAAAAACACTTTGGATTGTTTGAAGCATACATGAAAACATCTCTTCGTCTAGCTGTAATCTTTTTGTTTTGTTTTTTTTGGTAGAAGGTATTATGCAACTATTAGTTTCAAACACTCTGTTGCTTTTGGCAACAGCTCTAATATTGATTTAACTCACTCCCCTGAAATGATGTTTGAGATAGTAATTGTCTGTAATTTTCATCAAACAGTCAAAGTAGAAATGCACCAGGTTTGGGGTTTTAGTACAAATGTAACTTGGGCTAGGGTTACAAAAGGCGCTTAGGCTTCTCAGTGAACCTAAATTTCAAGCCTAAATCAGCTAATGACTGAGTAGAAGCCATGAAAAAACATGGTTTTGACATGAAGGCAGTTTTGGTTGAGTTTCACTTTGTGGCTCATTTAAGAATGAAAAATCATGGAGATTGAAACCACATGAATCCAAATCAACTTTGTGTCATTCAGCTCTAGTCTGAACTGCCACACTTGGTGGAAAAAAATCTGAAATCATAACTAGTGGATGTTTTCCATTAGAAGATCATGGGGGTTAGCTTGTGTAGTATACTATTCAAACACATTGGGAGTCCCCAGGACCCTTTGTAATGTAATTTGATAGATCTGAACCAAGATTAGGCTTTGTAGAGCCAATTATGGCCTCTCTAGGCTACCATATTAAAGTTAATGCATCTTATTTTATTTTTTCAGTGACAGGTACAAGGTGTTCGTAGATTTGTTCAACCTCTCAACATTTTTGGTGCCGAGACACTGGATACCAAAGATGAACCCAACTATTCATAAATTCCTTTACACAGCAGAATATTGTGACAGCTCCTACTTTAGTAGTGATGATTCAGATTAAAGAACCCTTCCATGGTGATCAATTTTAAAGAACTTTGAACTGTCATATGAACTGGTTTTGACCTTTTGTGAGGTCCCTTAAATTTATTAAATGTTACAAAGCATGTATATATATTTATGCACGCCAGGCTGTAAGATTTAAAGCATGTGATGAAATTGTGGACACATTATAAATACTATGATTTAGAGATACTAACTACTACATTTTCATATTGAGGTATTTTTAAAACATTACAGAAATAAGAAGGCAGAGTTTGCTAAAGAAAACAATATACAGAGATATTAATGACACTTAGCAATACTGGATCATTATTATTATTAGCATTAACCACAGTTGGATTTCTGTGGTTAATGCTAGGGATTCATTTTGCTCAGTATCTTTACAGAAATATTTCTGTTACCAAAAATCACATAGGATTTCTAAAATTTCTTTGGATTATTTAAACTAAATTTACTCTTCTATATTTATGCTTATTTTTGCATTTCTGGCAGCTCGGACAATGAAAGTGGACTAATCAGTTTTACTTTTGTTTAGTTCATTTCTTGTCAATTTTCAGGTTTTCACGCAGTAGCAAATGCTTGAGGATGATTATTATTTACTTTTAAAATATGTCCCTGTTGGGCATTTTTATTGTACTGAGATTTTTATACAGCTACATTTTAGAAAGTCTAAATATTGAGCTAAATTGGACCTGACAGTGTCCCTAAATAATTTATATGGAAAGAGAAAAATCTTGATTCTTATGTCATAATAAAAGTGTAATAACTATAAAACAGTAACAAAATAAATATCTGATATTCTGTTAAATACTTGTTATATACTTTATCTTTGTCTCATACTTCATTTTTTCACTTCAAATAAATGGCTATTAAAAACTTAAAACTCTTTCTTATTATTAATTCTTTTTATTTTAAAAGGAATTTAGTTGTATAAAATAGTTCCAGAATGAAGGCATTAGAAAGAGAAGTCCTTTTTATTTATCCAAAGTACCGGTATAGTAAGGATAGCAGTAATACAAAGTTCCATCGTACCATTCTGCTAATTTGCCTCAAATCAGGACTAAAACACATTACCTTATAGAGCGTGGAGACGGTAGGTATTTCTGTCCATTAAATCTTTGTATTTGAACACTACAGCCTGTTGAGATTGAGTCACAAATTATCAGGTTAAGTTTTTAATACTCTTCATGCTTGTTCACTGGGAAATAGACAGACTATCAATAGCAGTCAGATGGCAACAACTTTTAAACATAAGACCCAAACACAAAAAAATTCATTATTGCTCTTATCGAACCTCAGATGGAACCTGTACTGATGCTATTCTTCCAATAAGTAATAAATGCTACTGCTTAATTGTTCTCACCAGTCTTTCATATACAAGGAAAACTTCTCTTACAGCAAATGGGCTTCATTAGAAAGCACAATAAATCCTGCATCTTGGCAGGGGGTTAGACTAGATGACCCTTGCGGTCCCTTCTAACCTCTGGTTCTATAATTCTATGAAACAATAGAAAAGTGTTCCAAATGGAGGCATTGTACTCCGCCTCCTTTGTGTTTTAGTTTCTAAAGTCTGCCTTTCAGAAACTGGATGCTATAGTAACTGCCTGTAGTTAGAACCCTTTTTAGTATCTCCACTGAGTGGCCTTACCTCACTGGTGTACAAAAGTGAAGTTGCAACCTCCCTCTTAATAGCCTAGACACGTGTATTGCTACTAACTCAATTTTGCTAGCAGAACAAGTTACCAGCAAGACAACTTAAAGTAACACTACTTTTGCACTTAGGAATTTTCCCTCCTATATTTTGATAATCCAAGATCTGATTAATAGATTCATAGATTCCAAGGCCACAATCGACCATTATGATCATCTAGTCTTACCTCCTGAATAACACAGGCCACAGAAAAGCATCCAATATTGATTTTAAAATGGTCAGAGAGAGATAATCCACCATGACCCTTGGTAAGTAGTTCTAATGAATAATTACTCATTGATACAAAATTATGCCTTATTTCCTGTCAGAGTTTGCCTAGCTTCAACGTCTAGCCATTGGATCATGTGATACCTTTCTCTGCTAGGTTGAAGAGCCCATTATTAAATATGTGTTCCTCTTATAAGTAAAGTAGATACTTATAGACTCTAATCAAGTCACCCCTTAACCTTTTCTTTATTAAGCCAGAATGACAAATGGAGCATAGCATCAACACAAACAGCAAATATTCTGAGACATAGGATAAACTGGGGAGAGTTAGCAAAACTGTAAGTAAACAGAAACAGCAGCCATTACTGGAACTTCATAAAGGTTTTCTTATCCCTTCAGTACACTTGGAATATAAGAATAGGATACAAGTGAATGTTCAAAATTCTTTATTTAGAAAGAATATTGTTAAAACACATATTCAACATTGTAATTAGCAAACTGTTCAAATTTAACATAGTGCAAAATATTTGTAAAATCTCTTCACAATTCAACTAAAAGTTACAAATGTGTTTTTATAAAAAATGTAAACATTGATTCACAATTATTTCTACACAGCAAAAACTGACTACCACAGACAAGAAAAACAAAAATTCGCAAAAGTTACTAAATAAATAAATGATACTGGAGTGTTTTAAAATTCAGAAATGACATTGCTTTCTACTCTTATGTTCTACAGATCAAAAAGTTCAATGCCTTTATAATCACGGTTCAGAGATTTCCTCTGACCAACACATGGAGAAGGGCAGAGATAAATGGGTTTTGTATAGAAACTAATCCAGCAATCTGTGGCTAGAGGGATGATCTCTATGACAAGCCAGTTAAAGGTGCTAATTGGGGAAATACAGAGAAAATGAGGTATCTCAGTAGCCATTCTTTATTCTCCTGCTAATAATTAGCAACAATTGATGATTAGCTCTGAAAAAGGATGGACTGTTAAAAGACTGATATTAATATGTAGAACACAAATTTAGTGAGTTATAGGCATCTTTTAGCTATGACAATCATAGTCTGAATTTCCCTTTTGCCTTTGGCAGAAGTGTAATTTATCGAGGTAGAGAGAGGAGATTGAAGCAGGTGCTACTCCAACACTTTTTAAAGAACGAAATGGCCCATTTGCAATCTTACATGCAAAGAGAGGGTACAGCAGATATGCTTTCATATCTCAGGTTAATTATTGCTCTCTGAACTAATAGGTAGTCAAGTACATTGGAAGACAAGAACTATTAATTCATTCTGAATTCTCCAAAATGCCCTGGCACTCCCCCCCCCCCCAAAATTTCCTGCCTTGAAGAGCATAAAAACTAGATTTAATAAGACATGAGAGGCGAGGGTCAAAGACACTCAAAGGAAGAGGGTGAGCAGAGATGAAGTTACATGGTTACACAAGAAGGCATATATACATTTTGATGGTTCCATCACTATGTGGTGTGGTCCCTTTCCTTCCCCATGCTTCTTTTAGCCTTCACAATACAAGTGAGCTGTTAGGAGAGATTATAGTGTAGTTGCAACCTGCTTGTTTAGGTATATAATGCAGAGTGGCCCATAAGAAAACTGAAGAGGAGAGGCAGAGAAAGCAGAAGAGAGAAAGTCCATGTTAGTGCAAACAGCACCTGCTGTCAAACAAAGTTACAAGAAAGCCAATTCAGGCACTTCAGAAAGTGCAGGAGTGATAACAAAGAACTGTCATTTCACACAAGGGTTTTGAAAATGAAAGACAAGAGGAAATGGAAAGACACATCATGTTTCTCCTCATATTAAAGTGCCTTCAGACTGCACCCTGCCATACCGCTAGATTTCTGGATTAAAAACTTTCAGCAAACAACATTATCTCCTGTCAATTCTTCCCTTGTTCCTCATTCTGAACCAATTGTGATGTTAGTGACATTCTAGGACTCGCTGCCAGGATTTGTAAGTGGGCATTATTTGGAACCGAGAAACTTCCAGTGCTCCATGCCGTTCCCATTTAAAATATTTCAACAGGCAGTGCATAAAGCTCAAACATCCAAACTGACCACCAGAGCGTGACTCTTGTTTCATCTTTCTTTCTCAGAACCGAGGGTCAAGGGTCAATCAGATTTAGGGTCACAGACTCTGGAAGCTGAAGTATCTTCCTGAATTCTGGATGCGCCATGTCTGTAATGCCCAGCAGACCAATCCCTCATACTAAAATAGTTTTTAAAAATTTTGAAGTAAAATTTCTTCATATTGAATAAGTATAAATTTATGGAATACCAGTATCTGCCAAATGACTGCCAGCAGGGTGTTTTTTTGTTTGCCCAGTCGGTGTCAAACAAACACAGATGAAACTGTATCTGCTATACCTAGAAGAAGTAAAACACAAACTAGATGTTCAATAAGTATTAAGAATGCATTTATTTCAAACTAAACTTGCTGTTCATAGCCAACTGAAACTTAACCCCCAAAAGTCCTACTTCATGAGCCAGTATAGGTGAAATGCAAAGAAAAAGGAAACAAAACTAAACTGTTTTGCCTTTTACTCTTTTATATTGTATGAAAACAGCTACAGTTCTCACCTCCTCCCTCCCTCCTTTATTTTCACATTAGAGCTCTTCGGTTCTTTTCTTGGGGAATTTAATGCAACTCTGGTGAACTTACAATGTGTTAGCACAACAGGATGTTGAAATGTGAGCTGTAGTTTTCCTAGTCTAAGACTCAAAATCCTTTCCCTTTTCCCCTACGGACTGGAAAAACTGCTGGTAAAATTTTACCATTCCAACGTGCTGTCATGTTCTAGGTCCTCCACAGATTACGCAAGGCCCATTACAGAGAAATTTGTGGCCCCGGTATAGCATGTTTTCTGGGGCCCCACCCTCCCATTTTACCCCCATTTCATCCAAGTTACAGATATTTGAGGGGCCCTACTACAATTGTCCCTCCTTTCCTACTCTCTTATTAGCCCTCCTAAACATCCTCCAGGAAAAAGGTAGTGGACAGATAGGGTGAGTTAAACAGCCATGTGTAGTGAGTGGTGGGCATGCCACGTTTTCGCCACCAAAAGCTCCAGGAGAGAAAGTGACTCAGCAATCCTTCCTGAGGAAGCCCAGAGTGCAGGAAGTCCACACCCGTGTTCATTTCAACTCTCTTTGAGTGGCTGTACTTCTCCCAAGGGTGCACCAAAGAACAGTCCCTGTATTCTATCTGAGTGCAATTGTGACAGGCTCGTGTCCGAAATGAGGAGGGTGGGAGATAGAAGGGAAGGCTTCTGCATCCATATAAGGGCCTATCACACTCTAGTCCTAAATCAGAACTAATGTCTAATTCAAAAAAAGAGACATTCTGAACAGAGAAAAACTAAGATTAATAGATTCACAGAATTTCTACTGCTCCCCTCTGGTGAATTTAGGGCACAGGCAATTTGGTTTTGTTTCTTTGCTGAAGAAGGTTAAGAGACAACTGGGTTAATGTGAGAATTATTGAATTAGTGAGCTTTAATTTTACTGATTGTTCTCTTGGTCCACCTCTACAGCCAGCTTGCTTTAGTTATCATGACTCAAATCAACAGTGTTACCAGGTAGCTAGTTCATACAATAATAAATGAATATTATCAAATTTAAACAGCTAAATAAGGGCCCAAACTTCCTTCCAAGTGGGACTGGGTCTTAGGGGCCCAATTCGTGTTGCCCTGATCTTTGTGTAATCACATCATTGCAAAGTGGGTGCAAAATGTTATCCAGTCTGATTTGATACTAGTTTATACACTAGTGCAAAATGAGTAATTGACCAGCCAAGGTACTGAGCAATCATGAATCAGGACCTGTATGTGTGAGATATGGGGTTTTATGGTAGGTAAGTCCAAAAAACTGACACACCGAAGCTGAGACAGACTAACAAACCCAGCATTGCATTAGTTGCTGTTAGGATTCCTGTACAAAAGGTAGACAGAATAA